TAATGAAATCTTGATGTATTTTTTAAACAACCGCAAATAAAAAGCACATTACAGTATTTTACAACGATTCAGATGGCTTATTTAGGAGTAAGGCTGGAATTTGCTACTTCAACATCCTGAGCAAGGACCTTTGTCAGGCCAAACTACAAGTGAAATAATGACACAAGTGCAAAAACGGCATGCCTATTTTACCTTCATTGCACTTCCCCCATTCCCTCAATAAGGCAAATCGTGTCACCTGCATAGTCATGCAATAAACATCTAAAAAGGTCCAAAATAGAAGAATGTTCATTTAACCCAAGGTGTAACCCAGAGTACTTCAGTAGTATCTGCACTCCTTCATTTCAAACAGCCAACAGCTGGCTTGAGATCAAATCTGAAAGAAAAGAAAGAATCGAAAAGTTACAACATTTCTTGAAAAGAGCCGCAGAGAAATGTATTTCTTTATACAAGCCACTCACCTGCTGTTGCAACTTTTGGTATTCTGTGGACTTAGGTCGACGTGCGGCTCTGGATTGCTTTCCTTCCAAAACAAAGGCGATTATCTGGTGGTGAAAAAAAAGATCAGGCAAGACTGGTTTGGACTGCTGTAAGAAGTCTGATTTTCAAAATAAGGATAGTTAAGCTAGCCAATGTTAGAACTGAGTGTGCTACACATTAATGGACAACTAGGTTAAAAAAAAAAAAAAAAAAAAAAAAAGCTTTAGCTAATGTAAAAGTGGTTTTCAGCATTAAACCAGAACAGCTGGGAAATGTGTTTCTTTCCTTAAGCTCAGTGGAGAAATTTACACAACTCTCAACATAATTGTTGTGTGTGTTCTACACAGGAAATGACCTGCGCCTCAAAAGGCAACCACAGGTGCCAAATATATTTTAGGCTCAAAGTTCAAGGTTCAAGGTGCAGTTTATGTTAGTTTAAACACCAGAGTCAAACTTTAAAGTTAAATTAAAAAAAAAAAAATCTTTTTCTATGTGTGTATTTGGGTACAAGACTTGGGACATCAAGCCGGTCTAACAGCAAAAGTACCTTGCGCTTGTTGTGGTAAGTGATGTAGAGCACTGCCACCAGCACAGCTGCAGAAACGAGGTAGGCAAAGAAATGGCTGCTTTCCCCGTTTTCCATCATTTTGGATGGGTCGTATGGAACTTTCACCTCTTTTCTTTTAGTCTGCTCCACACCATCCTTTCCTTGCTCTTCGCCATTAGCATGGTTTGGTGTTCCCTCATTGTCATCTATCCCATCTTCACCAAGCCCTTCATCATCATCCTCGTCTACATCACCTCCTTGGAATTTCTCCATGGTTCTCAATTCATCTTTAAGTTTCTCTGTGGATGTGCTTTCGATTGGCTTTTTTTTAGAATCGTTTTCTGTAGGAGCTTGGGCTTGTGGATTTACTTCTTCTTTGTCTTTGGTTTCAGGCTCCGCTTGGTTGGCTTGCCCATCTGTCTTATTGGGCAGCGTGTTTTTCCCTGGGGTTTCCTGACCAGAATCCTGTTTTCCATCGTGCTTATCATTTCCATCCTCCTGTTGTTTTTCAGTTTGAATCTGTGTATCTGTTTCAATTCCTGCGCTTTCCGGATTTTTCTCGACTGCCTTGGCCTGTTCAGCTGATGCACTCACACCCTTCGTAGGTGAGCTTAGTGACTCTTCAGGTTTTGATACGTTAGCCGCCTTTCCGGTGTGGTTACCAGACACGCTTGACTGAGATTGATCTGTTCCATTTGTATCTTTTACTGGTGGGCTTTTTGCATCTGGGGAGACTTCACCCTGTGCTGAATACAAAAACAAGAGCCTCAGTATTAATGGAATGTTAAATGTGGGATTTTGAATTAACTATTTATTACATCACATGCACATCTGCTTGTTTATCCTCACTACTTATTTCTTCCAGTGCAAACCTCTGAAATATTATTTAATCTATTTTTCTCTTCTCTCCCGATATCTTCGTAACATTTTTCTTGTCAGCTTCCTCCAAGTGATTACATTAAATGGGATTACTCAATTACATAATTGAATCATGTCTGCCATGAAAAAGATTGGCAGCAAAACATTCCAGAAATCAAAGGACAATATAGCAGACGTGGATAATACTAGACTGTGACAGTGACCACTGACACTTTGAGTACATTTGCTTACATATGTGACATACTGCGTAGACCTACTACTATAGGACTAATACACCAGTTATCAAGGCTGGATTACCCACTATGCAAAGCAAAAGGTCAGTGGGCTACAATATGTCAGCTGACCTCATTAATTTGTTAGGTTGACTACAAAATCATACAAAAACACAAAGATATAAGCAACACGCACTAGGAATCCAGTATTTTTTATCATCCTGATTTTCAACTGGGCCAATAATCAGCAGAGTGAACACTATATGCCATTAGTATTTGGTCACATGACTTGTGTGGATCAGTGGTGCAGACCATGATTAACAGATAAATAATGCTGAGATTTTTTTTTTTTTACTAAAAGAATGTAGATCTGTACAATAAATTATAATTCATGAGTAATTTTCTTAACATTATGCTACGGAAAAAATGATCCAACAGTGTCCACAGTTTTATCCAGCAGGTTTGGAAATGTGTGTAGTAGAGACCAACTGATTTATTGGTGGGTCAATATTATCAGCCGATACTGGCACTCCACCTATCCTGTTATAAAGGTTGATTAAAGAAAGTAAAGAAGAAAAAGGTAGAAACACCCTTTAATCGTGTTAGGAGTCTTAATGTTGCATTGTTTGCCAACTAAAGGGCAGTCTACAACTTCCCTGTTGGCAACAGGTACCACAAAATCAACAAGCAATGTCAGGCAGAGCTTAGGCGAGTAAACAAATAAGTGCATAACAAATGTCAGGGAAATCTCTTTAAGTTTCATGTGTCTGAAAAATAAACTATATATAGGCCAATATATCCGAATATTGTCGGGGTTTTTAAATCATAACCAAATATTGGTATGGATATATCGCCTGTGTCAGTTGGCCTCCAGTTGGGAGGAATTACGCCAGATTACGGTGAAAACCTTGTATGTGAATCCATATTTTGCTATATTCACTGTAAAGACAGGGAATATTATGCACAGATGTGTATAGTAGAGTACAGCACAAGTACACATTCCCCTGCAAGAGATCACAATAAGTTAATTATATCGCAAAAGTGAAGCGGTGAAGGAAAAGGAGACTGGATGAGCGCAATCCCTCCCAAGGTCTTAAGAAGCAGAAGGATATCCTATTCACGTAACACCTGTGAGCCAACCTGTTAAACCGGACCGACTACTCAAGGAGGATGAGAAAAAAGTCAAGATTATTAAAATAACAGAAAAAGCTCAAATAAAAAACTAAACAGAATAAATAGCACCTATTATGCAATTAAAAATAAAAATAAAACATTAAAATTTACAGTTTTAAAAAATGTCAACACATTAACGTGGCAATATATACGAGTTTTTATTACTCATTTTATTGTTTTATTATTCTTTTTATTTATTTATTTCTACAGTGGTGTAAATCAGTCTATTCTCCTTTCTCCATTTAAAAAAAAAGGACTGTTTTGACATATATCGCCTATCATCTTTATCAGGGATTGTGGGGAATTCCATAAGTGCTCAACCAACGCAGGCCTAAACCCAAATAAAAACGCAAAAACAAAACTCGACTCACCTCCGATGGAGCTGAAACACAGGAATATTGCAGATATAGTGAGCAGCAGCAGGGCCGTCCTCATCGTGTCGGCTGTGTCCACACGCCAAAGAAACGCGACCCGAATCCGTCTAATTTCAGCTGCGTCTTCTCAGAGCTCACGACGCAATCCGAGCTGACAAACGCAGGCCGACAGGTTCAAGAGGTTTGACAGATCCGGCCTGCTTCCGTGTACGAGCTGGCATTTCTCTTCTTCTGCGATTGTAAACACGTGAGTGAAGTTTAGTGCCACCTAGAGGCTACATGCTTTTATAACAAGAACGTGCTGACGGAGAAAGCGTGGCGATTGTGGTTTCATTACTTTCACGTCCTTCTTATTGTGCAGTTTTATCATTTCAGCTGCCCAGCTCAGCCTGTGACACCGCTGAATCTCTAGAGCCCATCTATGGTAGTATACGGCACGAAATCATTATACTTTTGTATTTTTTGATTCAATATTATGATTTTATTTCGTCTCAGCTCACTACCAAAGTGGATCTGCTTGTTTAAGTTGGGTTTGCTTTTGTTTTGTTTTTTGTTTGTTTGTTTTTGCGGGGGTGGGGTAGTTGTGGGGCGAGATTTGACACGTTCAAATGAGGTGTTACAATAGAAAAACCTTTCAGTGTCATCAAACATGTGCACCTCGCCTTGCTTCTTTTGTTGGAAAGCCATATTAACAGACACTAACACTAATCTGTATTTCTCTCTTTTTTTAAGTCAATCCGTCTATTTTCTTCCACTTATCGAGTTCAGGGTCGCAGGGTGGGCGGGGCCAATCTTTTGTATGGCTAACACAGGCACAGAAAAGCATTCACATTCACACCTATGGGCAATTTTAAATGACCAATTGACCTAATCCCATGCATGTTTTTAGACTGTTAGGGGAAGCCAGAGTACCGGGATGTAGATAACGTGCAAACTCTGTAAAGAAAGGCTTCACAGGACCTGTGGCTAACAGTGGTGACCATACAAGATACAGTTATTTTATATTTATTATTTTTATTTACTTATAGCTTTTTTTTCATCTTACTTATAATCAATTATAATATCTCTGGTGCTTAAATTATGATAAAGACGTGTCACTATAGGTTAAGGGACAGTTTTTCATGTCCTGCTCCCAGTCATAGTGTCTCATCATTGTTGTAACAGAGAAAAGGAAAATCCCCCCGTTTCCTCCAAATATGCCTGCAGGTATTACTGTATTTAATTCCATATATGAGTAAAGACAGGGATGTTCGAGGCAGCTCTGTCTTTACTCGACTTAGTTTAATTTAAAAGCTATGTGGAAACCACTAAAATTTTATCCACCATAAAAGAAGAGATGGGGGTCTCATTTGTGTTATACTGCCACACACGGGTTAAGTGTAGACATTGTTGATATTTTTCCTTCACGCGTGTCATTTCACCTTATCAGCAGATGGCAGTATTGGCATGTAGTGCAATTAAAAAAAACACTTTACTTGTGCCTTTATCTATGTAGGTTAACTTTGCTTTGTTACATTAAACCAAACTTAAAGGGTATGGAAAAGCATTTCTTCTAGTAAGCGATGGCCAAAATAAAACACCACAAAACAAAGCCATGACAATACCAATATCACTGGCCTTGGAGCTGAACATGTTCAGCAGTTTCTGAGATAATGATATAAATGTTAATTAGAGGTGTTTTACATCTCAGTTGGGTGCAGGAGACCTTCAGGCTCTTGTAATGAATTTGTCTTAATTGTGGCAGGCTATTTGACATTTGAAAAGTCCGATGATCCCTCTCATTCTTGACACCCATTTGCATTTCCATCTTTAAGGTCAAATGGGTATGAATAATACATTACGGAGGTTCTTAAGCTCACAGCCAGCCATACCTGTCTTCACAAACGAGCCAGCTGAGGCTTGCTCAGCTCAGTGAATGCTACAGAAACAATCAATTAATATCACTTTGGGAAACCGCATGTGAAGCATCCTGTAATTAGTAGGAATATAAGGTCACAGAGTCAATGGCAGATATAGGTTCAGCTTTTTTTTTCCTGATTATGCTCATGCATAAACACTGGCCTTGCCTTAAATGTGCTGCAGCTCACAGTTTAAGTGACTTCTCAGATAAGAGATCTAGAGGCAGCATTACGCAAGTAAAGTATCAAACGGTTAACCTGGAATAAATTTAAGATCAAAGGAAGGCCCAAAAAAGGAACCTTGGCAAGAGATTGGAGGAATTTAATGAGCAAAAATTAACATGAATTAAATCTGACCTCGTGCTTTACATGGCAGATGTTGAGCAGAGCAGCATCCAGACACGTTACTCGAGATAAACAGCCGTGTGTTACATGCTGACTGCAAGATAGCCTCTGTTTGGTTTCAAGTGGATGGTGTGATTAAATAAAAATATTTCTTTCAATATAGCAAGACCAATTTAACATTTAAAAAATAACAATAATAAGCAGGCACGGGTATGGAAATGTATTTACCTGCACATATGAACTTATTCACTTAGAGACTGGGCTTCATAATAGGGGTACTGTCTTTGGAGAATTGAATGCCGGGCTGCATGCATGGCCTCGAGGAGACAGATTTGCTGACTGTTTTGACAACTCATTACCTGTAATTTCACTGATGGATTGGTGAGGTGGCTCAGAGCAGGCAGCCGTGGCATCAGAGCACGAGCGGTTTGTGTCTGGAATGATGTAAGATAGAATGGCAAACAAGCAAATGCTTATTGTGCCTAATGATTGCTTAAAACAGAGCAGGGCACACTTGACAGTTTGGTGCCTCTACTATATAAGGCCCCAAACAGAAACGCATCTTCAGTCCCGCCGCTCTGCAGTTTTACAACAATGTTTAAAGTGAATTTTAAAAATATATATGACACAGGCCACCTTTTTTTTGCTGGCGGCAAATGGATGATGCCTCTGTGAGAATGTCATTGATTATTTATGTTTCATCTGAATGTAGAAAATCAGCTAAGACAGACAGATCGTTCTCTATGTTATCGTTAAGTCTTCTTTATATGTAAATGCATGTGAAAAAGTAACATTTCCCAGCTCCCTGCAGCAGGTAACATCTTGCTTAAGTTAAATTGGTAGATAGAGGGGTTGCAAGTTATCTCCTCCTGGCCGGCCTCCCCCCCTCTGCTCCCACATAATTGGTCCATCCCTGGCACTACTACTCATCTCCAAAGCCACCAAAAACTGTAACCTACCTTGTGTATTTTTTCACTAATTGAAATGCCTAATGAGGTCCCAAGGGCTCCATCCCATTACCTCTGAGTTAATTAAAGCCTAAGCAGTGTGCCAAACGGTGAATAAAGATGCAGCAAAAGTGCAAAAGGAAAGAAAGGGGAGCCCGAGTAGGGTACGGTGCACTGGGATGGAGGGTTGACCTGCTTTTTTTTTTTTTTTAGTCATTGTTGAGGGATGCCACATTCCAAGAATGAGCAGATGTCTATTATTTTTTTATTTGCGTCTATACCGGGCTTGAAATTTCCATTACCCTGGCTCAGGCACTCATTTTCCAGTGTGGTTAGCCTAATTCTGCTTTATTAAACATTAAAGTCTTTGCCACCGTCAGGAGGGTTTTGCTGAAGACGTTCTCACGTTAGCGCTGAAGGATAATGCAGGCATAAAAAAATGACAGCTGTGTTTGTTTTTTGTTTGGCTGCCCCCTCCAGTTTAAATGCAGCCCTGATAAAATCATACTTGTCTTTAAATGTGATTTTCTACACCTACAGTGTCATGCCCTGTGGTCACTTTTTATAGGAACGCTAATCCAAACCACATCACCTCGTTAAAGCAATTTCTCCTCGTTAAACGACCAGAAGCAGAATTGAAAAGACAGACTTGAGATATTTCTTTTAAGAAACAATTTCAAATGTTTATTTAACATGTCAGAGAAGGGGCACACACTCGTGAATTTAAAAAAAAAAAAAAGAGGGGTTGGGGGGGAGAAGGGGGTTGCAATTATTGGCCAGTACTAAGACTTAAACTTCATACTAACATTAATCAGGTTTTGGCTAAAGTAAAAGTGTGTTTTTTGTTTCTTTTTTGCTTTTATAAAAGAAACTATGTACATAGGTTCATTTATACAAGAGGTTCATTGGATAAATGCATCAAAAACAAAAACAAAAAAACAAACCAAAACAAAAAAAAAAAAGAAACCAGTTCTGCAGTAAACTTTACAAAAAATACATTTTTGTTTTCATTGAGAGATGTAGAAAAGGAGACGGTCAAATATTGACCAATAATATTTCATCCTTTTCATTATTTAGAAAAAAAAGTTGTTCTAATAACTATTTTTTTTAAAAGAAAAGCAATCAATATACAGCACAATAAATGGGGAGGAAAGAAAAATTGCCTTTGTGAATTCATTCAGTTGGTTTGGTAACCAAGGAGAGGGGCTGCGACTGGAACAGGGCATGATGGGAATGAAGGGCCTGGTGGAAGGGCGAAGGGGGAGACAGCATGGAGGGGTGCAGAGAGGTGAAGGGGATTGGCCGGGTGAGGATGGGTGTGTTTGACTGGCTACCTGAAGTACCAACGGGGATGGACATGGTGGGATGGGAGGAGGAAGAGGAAGGGGTGGAGGAAGAGGAGGATGAGGAAGAGGAGGATGTGGACCCGGAAGCTTTCCCAGGTATCGAGAAGTGGTGTTGCATGCGCCCCTCCGGTTTGGTGGTGAGCGATAGCGGCTGGGCCTGTTCAGAGTGAGTGGCAGCGGGGGCGGCGGGGGAGGCCAAGGCTGCGGAGGGAGTCGCCGGTGAGTCCAGCATGCTTCCGTGTGACGACGCGGGGCTGTCGCACATCTTCTCCGAGGTCAGGTACTGCACGCACTGCTTCTTGCTTCTTATCGAGAAGTCTGCGGGGAAACGAGGAAAAGTGAGCAAACTGAATTATGGATCCGCCGCTGACTTCAAATCTGGTGCAAGTCCCTTTATGCCACGTCCGACAGAAGTGAATGAGTGATTATTTAAGCAATGAAGCACGATGTTAAAGTTAGAAACAAGACCTTTTTTTAAACTGACAACAAGAAGACTGAAACAGGATGTTCACAGCATAATACGAATGGTATGTGTGCATGGATCAAAAGAGGAACAACACAAAATGTGCACTAAAGAGTGAAAAGCTCCCTTTTTTGGCCAATTTGCCGTGGTAACTTGATTGCACAATAGCAGACATACCTACCACTATTAGCAATGAACCTCATAAGCTGCTTGTCAAAGTATAAAAGCAGGGAAAGGAGTTAGTTAGAGCCAGCGAAGGACAAAATTCACGCAGAAACAAAAAAAGGGGGAAAGAAAATAACAGAAGAAATGTGCAGTGTCAGGTTGGGCTTGAGCTCTGCAAGAAAAATAAAGCCCTCGCTGTTAGTTCCTACAATTTTTCTTTCTTCTCTAATGTGAGAGGGGAAAAAAACCCAAATAAAGCCAGTCAGGAAGAAAATGGCCCCTTACCCTCTGGTTTTGAGTCTGGTTTATTCTCTCTCTTCCTCTTTTTCCGCTTTCCCTGCACACATGAAACAATGCTGTTAAAAACAGTTTTTTTCATAGTGAAAGCAAACAAAATTCACCGACTTCACTTCAAAGATTAAAAGGGCAGTTTCTATAGTCATAGCTGGACTGAACTTTAAAGGGAAATGAATTTAAACATCATCCAGTCACGATATGAAACCTGAGAACAGAAATGTGCCACTCACATAGTTATCTCGTGCTGACCATCCCGGATAGAGCTGGGAATGAAGTTGCCTCTCTTTCCTGGCCAGCTCATAGTATTTGGCTTGCTCCTCTCTTGACAGGGAATGCCACTGTGGACAGAGTATATCAAAGGACATTTAAACACTCTCACACACACATATATGTATGTGTAAACTCCAACGCCTTTGTCTGCACTGCTTACCCGTCTTCCAAGGATCTGGTTGATGGCCGCGCTCTCTTTCAGAGTGCACTCTGCCACCACTTTGGCTCTCATCTCCTTCATATACAGCATAAAAGCATTCAGAGGCTTCTTGATATGAGGCTTCTTGTCCTCTTCTTTCTTGGCAGGAACGGGGGACTTTCTGCTAATCCAAAACAAGAATGAAAGTAGCCGTGTGAATGACCGAGTAAGCACGAGTAGATTTTAGCATAACGAGGAGCAGCAATGAAGGCAGGTTTTGCTGAATCGTCTTACGCGTGCATCGAGGGGCTGATGTCACCGCTGGGCTCCTGCTTGATGGCTGGGGAAACTATGGCCGGATGAGGAATGCCGGTCTGGTGGAGGCTGTGCGGAGGTGGGGTGACCATGTGAGGGGAGAAACGGCTGGACACCAAGCTGGGAGGGCAAAAAGGGGGCAACGTTTTAACAGCGGGATGTAACAGCGTACCTCTGTCAGCTTGACATGGCATAAAAAAAAAAGTTCAGCTAACCTGGCACATAACCGCCCTGCCTCACCCTCGGGGTGAAATTCACTGTGCCTACTGCCTCCGTCTAGACTAAATTCATACACACAATGAGTAACATGCTTTCTTTTTTGTTCAAATAAAGACGTTTTCAAAAGGCCTTTTATTCACCAAAGGCTGAAGAAAAGTGGAGTGTGTTGTTACCATGGCAACGGCAGGGCTGTGACACCTGAAACCTCTTTCCTTACCACGTCCCAGACCGCGGAGAGCGCTCTGACAGCCGTCCACACAGAACACCTTTACAAAGTGTCTCTCTCAATTTCCAGTAGTTAATACAAAGGAGCATTGTAACAGACAAGAGGGGGAATTAAGCTCCACAGGCCAGGATCAGTCACTCTAGTTAATGTTAAGACTGGAACATTCACCTCTTTTAAGTGTTTTAGCATGTTACACAGGCTGTCGTTAGTGACACCACACATATGCCTTATTAACCTACATATGTGATGATTTCTAACCGTCACACTCAGCGACATGTGTTCAAACCAAACTTCTTGTCTTATAAAAAGTCTAAAAACAACTCAGTAAACAGGAGCTAATTCTCAGTTCATGTTTTATTTTCCTTTTTTTCCCCCCTCGTCTTTGATATTCTTAATAATTTATACTGCATAAACAAACAGGACCCTTATGACTCCCCTGGTAATAAACCTTTACCAGCTATCCTTGTAAACATCCTACTTATTCCCCAGTGAATAACTCAAGCTGCTCCGAGTGATGGCATGCAGTCAAGCTCCGTATTTTGAAGATATTGCTTCCATTAGTGTTCATCATTGTTGCCATAAATTTTTATTCACGCTTTACACTTACGCTTTAAACTTATATCTTACTGATACTGTCGAAAGTGTTTCGTGTAACGTCTTCGTTTCAGCGGGTTTCTTCCTGGGTCAGAGAGCCTCACCGCGAGTTTATTTCAAATCTCCATGATAGCAGAAATTTTGGCACAATATTTGGCACACAGTGCGTCTGGTGCATTAAATAACCTTGTGTGAGGCGTGCTTTGATTGTTGCGAGTTCATTTCAGGATGGAGTTACACATGCTATTGATCACAGAGAACCCTCTGAATATTTCATCTCATACTAACACCGGAAGGCTCCCTACAAATCTTTCCAATTTTGACAGAGGGTCAGAGAGTTTAGTCTGAAGGGACGTGTTGGCTCAGATGAGCTTTGATTTGTCCTAATCGATTCTCAGCCCTTTCATCTCTTCGGTGTGTGTGTGTGTGTGTGTGTGTGTGTGTGTGTGTGTGTGTGTGTGTGTGTGTGTGTGTGTGTGTGTGTGTGCGCACACATGTGGAGTGGCTCAGAACACTGGCCTGACCACAGAAGTTTAGCTCTCAAAGAAAAGACAGGAGAGAAGCCCTGAATGCCAATAATGCATTTGCTCTATTTAAGAAGCTGAACCTGTCTCCAATAGACTTAGACCTTACATCCCTTTGTAGTCCTGACACCACTGCCTGTCCACCGTCTCACAGTGTTTTCTCCAAGCGGATATACTGCATTTTTTCTTTACATTCCTATAAATAAAGCAACATCCACTCCAAATAACATTTACAGTATTAACCACTGAAGTTAATACTGCAGGAAAAATGTGAACGGAGCATGCCACAGAGGCAACAGATATTAGATGTCTCCCTTCGGGAGGGCTGGGGTGTTACTGAACGTGATCCACTCACCTGGACATGGATGGATTCATTGCTAGCGCTGGATAGGGGTGACGGAATCCCCCCGGAGGGATGGAGTACATGTGCTGGCCCTGCCTGGGAGACAGAGGTACACGGAGTGAGCGAAGACTGCAAAGTGAGGTGGATCAAACACAGCTGACAGCTAACCCATCAGCACTAATCCTCCCCTCATCAACTCAAATCCCCTGCTTGTGAAACAGCACCGCTGCAATTGATTACAGGACCCATGGCAAAACCAATAAATGCTCATAAATTCCTCTTGTCGTGATACTGTCATGATATAGTTCTATGCTGCCTTAAAACCTGGGTGTAGCAATCAAAAACTTTCTGGACAAGAAATACAATTTTTTTTCCTTGCTTGACTTGAATTTTATAAATCATTTATTGCGCTTTTTTAAATTTTAGATCAGGGAGAAGCGGTCGAAAGTTGGCCACTAAGCCAGCGCAGCTAATTAGCTAACATCTCTGGTGGTCTGTTAATATGCATCATCACAGCAGGTGGACGCGCCCACAAAGCGAACTCATTCCAAGAACGTGACGCAAGATGGTCGTCAAAAAAATCTATTTTTTAGGCGAGCACATGTAACTGCAGCCAGTTAAAAGAGATATGATATGTATAAATAACTAAGTAATACATCTGGCTATGCAAACAGATCACAATGAAAGGAACGTACTGTGGCATGAGCCAGCTGAGAGGGTGTGCAATGGAACCGACTGCACCAGGAGACAGGGGGTAGTATGGAGACAGTTCTGATGGGTGAGGTGTCCGAGGAATACCTGCGGAGGCCACAGAAAGATCAGTTTAATAGAAAAAAAAAAGTCTATCAAACTTCCACAATATATGCCAAATTGTTTTTAAGGCGCGAAACTTTCAAGCCAATAAGATGTGCACTTATCCGTGCACATTTCAGTGCTTAATTTCATATTATTATAACACAACAACTGTAGTTTTATCGCCACTTTTCCTTGCAAAAAGATTCCATGTGAAGGTTAGTCCATCCATCAGATGCTTTACCTGTCTTTGGGTCAAGGATCTCTGGGGAGAGGTGCGATGGCGGCGTGCCAGGGGAGAAGTGTTCATTGCTGTAGGTGATGAGGGGCGTCAGCGGGTGGACATGGTGAGCATGCTGTACCACTGGGACTTTATTGGACTGAAGGAGACACAGAGAGCTGAAGGTGAGCAACAAGTGCCTGACATCATGATTGCAGAGAGTGACACTAATGTGTTTTTCTGTACTAGTGTTTTATTTACACATCAAAGAATTATTTATATTTGTATCTGAAGCAAACATTTTGTCTCCCATAAGTGCATGATTCACGCTGGCTATTGTACAACAGAAATGCACGCCATAAATAGGCCATAATTTGTGAATGCCCTCCATGGTAAACATCACAGTTTATGCGTGTGACTGGCTCTGTGATGCAATCTGGACCGGCACCAAGAAGCAGTAAAAAGGCCTCGCGGACACATGCCAAGATCATTACGGCCATTTAGCTGAGGAGAGAACTGTTTGTTCAGTCCAAGAAGAAAAAACAACGGTGCCACCGCGTCCAAAAGTCGCACCAGCAAGCTGCAAATAAACACAATGGGGCTAAGGTAAACGAAACGACCATAAACATGTGGAGCCATCATCTCCCACTCCGTCTGACAGCAACCACCACGGGCGGATTACAAATGCTGCTAATGTTGGAAAACCACTTAAAATTCTGTATAACTTCAGATAAGTGGTGACGAGCAGAAAGGCCAGCAACACGCAGAGTATGTCTTTCCCTTATTTCCACAATGCTTCACACACTGTGAAAAAACAAGAAAGCACACATCCTCTGTGAGATCTGACCAGCATTAAGAAAGGATGATGAAGACAATAATAATAACCAGCGTCTCTACTTTCATTAGGCAGCACTCAGCCTAGCAGTCATTTCCCCTGGCTGCAGGGCTGAATAGAGCACTTGTTGGCTCAACTTGTCACAAGGGAGGGTCAAGGGGTGGGAGGGGAGAAAGAAGTCTTGTTCCTCCAGGCTAACCTTTCTTCAATATCCCTCCCCACCCCCTTCCCAACCTCTGTCTCTCTCTCTAACGTGGTCTGCCAGGGAACAAGGTTTGCATTGAGAGTCCTGTATGCTCTCTTGCTTCACGCTGCTAAGAATTGTTCCAAATGTTAGCTTTTTCTCTGCAGCTTTTTTTTTAAGAAAAAGGAAGGTCCAACCTTTTCCTCTTTAAAAAAAAAAGTCTTTAGCAAAGTGGTTTCTCCTGTTTAAAGCAGGCTTTGATTCAGGTAATGCCAGATGGAGTGGGGAAAATATTTACTGGTGTTAAACATGGCTATATTAAGATCACTTTCCACAAGAGTTCTCTTTTTTTAAAATGTCTCCAGACTTGGAGGACGCGAGGTAAATGCATACGGAGAACGGAGGGCTCTGGATCGTGGTAGAGATGGTGTTGACTTAGTAGGTTAAAATCCTCGGTCCCACATGTCATGTATATTTGAGTTGTGCTTTGTTGTTCCACTTCATGTACAATATGCCGACTTATGAATTTCCCTATATTGTGAGAGCTGTTTGAGACCTCTAGACCTGGGTGCCAACACATTTTGGGAAGCAGTTCAGTGAGAATTTGAAATGATACACATTAATAATTCATATCTTGGAATACATGAATCGGGCGCTCCAAACATATTTCTAAGTTTGAAGGCACTAGTTTCAAATCCAGGCTGCTTCCAGCCTGACAAAATGCAGAGAGAAATGCCGTGTGCAGCTTCTATGGACGCAAAACTATTCTGACCTACATGCTACCTGTTAGAGCTTCTCTGTTAGAGATGAAAATGGATACTTGAGCTAGCAAATTCCTTTTTTATTTCGACATATATTTTTAATTAAATGAATAGAAATCAGCATAATTATGAGCTAGTTTAAATTAATTAAATTCCCCAGAACTCAGACATCATAACTCAAAACCAAACAACTTGTTTATCAGTGCCTTTTTTGGCTCGCTTTATGTCCGGGGTAATATTCCTCAAGCCCGTGAAAACCATCATAGGCGTAGTATTATTATCCACAAGCCAAGTGTAAGAGGAAAACCGCAGGAGTCGTGAGCCTCGTTTTAAATACAAACAACACGTACAGACGCTGTCTACGCCAGAAAGATACAAATCTTTACATCGATGTGCTTGTTCCAAACATGTCTGCAATGGTGCATAACCCTCATCTATCCAAGTAAAACCACTCGGAGCTGCTCATCTGAAATAGCAACAGGAAGGTTTAAGAGAGAGAGAGATGGGGGGAAAACAAAAAACAAAAAAGCCAGAGCAGAAAGTTTCGGAGCCGGTGCAGAGAAAAGATGTCTGTCTCTGAAGAGGGCTTAAAGCTAAAAAGGCCGAGGTGGCAGCACCTAGCCTGGCTGTCCAACTTGGAACGGTGCTAAGAAAAGCACAGTCCTTGGTCAGTGTGGGTGGAGGAGTGGATTTCATTCAAGCAAACATGTTTTTGGATCCTGCACATCTGAATTGAATTACTAGGCAAACAGCCGATGGGGAAGAGAGCTTAGAACAAACTGAATAACCCCGCAGCTTTGTGTGTCTTTATGCTCGGCGATTCTGGGTGGGAGGCTCAGAGGCCTTTCAAAACTCGAGGAAAGACGGCGTGAAAAGAATGCCTGGCATGCTGAGAAATCCGAGCCTTGTTTGTCAACGCCAACAGGAAGCGGACGTGAAAGGGGACTGACCGTGTCGTACGGTTGTGTGTCTTTAAAATCAGCCACTCCAAAAAGTATGCCATTCATCACAGGCAGTGCGCGCCTTTGCGACTGGTCATCGCCTCTGACAAGGTCAACGGCATTATAATTCTAGGTTAGAATAATACAGCATCAGATTACTGGAGTGAACATCCTCAGCAGTCATTAAATAAATGAAGAGAGCTAGCAAAGTCAGCACCATAAATATGGCTGTAAACACGGACAGATCTCTCTGGAGCCTAACCAGCGATAAATATTTGTAAATTATCAGACAGTAACATTACTTTCTGGTGAATCGGCCACTAATAAACAGTATCTTTTCACTCAGTCTGCAGCACTCGATCTGAGTACGCTCCTCTAAAGAGTTCGACTGGAATCAAAGCACTGGTTCCTCATCACATTTCTGAAGAGGATCCTGTCTCTGCAGTGGCCCAGCAGGACTGCAGACCTTAGATCAGTATTCAGTACAGTCCTCCCAAATCCTTTGATTTCATGGATCTCGGTTGTTCGCTGCCTAATGCAAAACGAGAAAATCTCACCGGACTCCCAGTGAAAGGTCTGTTAAAGGAATATAGGTCGAAGGCAAATATGTGTATCGCTTTGGGGAGGGAAAAAAGTGTATCGTTTTTATTTAATATTTCTTCTTAAAATGTTTTAAGAGCCCATAGATGTAGAAATTACACCAGACGCATGTGGGAAGACAAAAAGGCATCTCTGGAATCTTGCTCTCTACCTTGCCACTTTGATTCATTTAAACAATTCGGTGACTAAGTAGCTTGTGATACGCTGACAGGATCAGGCCCCTTGGTGCCGTGATTACTCCATACCATGTTGAAACAAAGAGGGCGATTCTGTCAAGCGCAGATCGGCCCATATTTGACGACTGAGTGTGCTGTAATCCAGTAAGCATCTGAGGGACAGACAGCCAGTTCTGTCTGATTAACGACTCACAGCTTCTCTGTAAAACAGATTAACAAAACTATTCAGTAATGAGACAGACAACAGGTCTAATGAATGAATTACTGCAAGTAAGTACGGCAAGGCTTGTGATCACTATTAGCAAAGTGGGAATCGATATATTATAGAAGATTCCTCTCCTCTCCTCCAGCTGGGACACTACTGATGGGCTGACAAGTTCTCCATACTGCATCACCTGGCCCTGCAGCGCCTTTGATGCATTATTCATGAGGCAAGCCTCTGAGCACAGGAGCTGAAATGGGGGTTTTTGGGGTTCACTCGAGTGCGCATGTGTGTGTGTGCGCGCGCGAAAGACACGCTGTGGTATGTTCATGAAAAAAAAGCTTGTTCCCTTCTTCCCAGTCCTCCAACCCCACCATACTACCAAAAGCAATACCAACTGAATGCTAAACAAACCTGTCTGTTGAATAATTGAGGATCTCGGGCAAGAGCAGGCTTCCGATTAGCATACAGGCCTTATGGACCCAATCTGTGGCAAGATGGTCTTTCCCCGGACCCACCGAACACAATTTCTATTCACCAACATCTTTTCTTGTTTCACGCCAACAGAATCGTCAGAAATGTCCAAAGCCCAATGTCCCTCTCAACCCAACCAAAAGGGGGAAATCACAACCCAAAAAAAAAAAAGTTTCACATATCAACATGTGGCAACTCGCTAAAAGTTATTAATGTGCAGAAGAGCCTGACTGAGCAGGCCTCTCCATAACAGACTGCAAAAACCTTATCAGTGAACCCAGTTGTCGACATGCTTTTAAAATGCATGAATACGCATATCCCTATAAGCAGGCCCCAGCAGATAATCCAAACTGTGGCGGTCCATCTTCACATAAAAAAAGAAGCAACAATGTCAAATCTAACACACGCAGGGAACAGGTCCGCTTCAGGAGTCCCTGCTGGGGTCTCCTCAGCGTCTCCTTGGGTCTCTCTCTCTGGCTCCTCTTGGCCCTGGGCAGTAATCCCTGGCCCCCCGTGTGTGCCCATCCGCTCCCCCTGCTCTCATTAGTGCAGTGTTGGGGCCTAGGGAGCCTGCAGGCCTGGGGAGCCAGCCTGCTGCTCCCCTCCCACTCTCCTTCTCTCTCCTCGGCTGGAGTAATGAGCACATAATCAGCCTGGCTCCCTGTCAGCAGCAGCACACCAGAGGAGTATGTGGGCACCTGGCCCAGCAGGGGGGGTGGGGACGGGGGAACGCAGGGGGTGGTAAGGGCACAGCGGGGTGTTTCACTTTTTATCCTCAGTGCCCACAGTGCGCCGTACCCAGCGTTCGATCTACCCACCCCACATCAAATAACCCTGTGGTCCCAGGTCACAAGATAGAGCGTAGCGACTTGCTCATCTAGATGACAAAATGAAAGCAGTTACACTTTCAGTGAACTTCCCCATCACTGACACTGATTTAGCGCAAAAAAAAAGCATAATTATTTTTTCCGCAAGTGTTTCATACGTGACATTTGACAGCGCACCGCCCGTGCATTACAGCCGTCTTAACAGTATTAGCATTAACAACGCCAACACCAGTACAGAGCTTGTACAGATGTTGAATTTAAAGGCAATTTCCAAGTTCTGCTGTGCATATACAAAAACATTTTTTAAACATTTAAATGCATAAGAAAAGAGAACACATGTTCCAAACTTCCAAAGAGAAATACACAGAAACAAATTATACTTTGTATTCAGACAGTTTTTGCCAGAAAACGATCCCTCGCATTCTCAGACTTCTACATTGTTTCTTTCTGTACTAGCTTTTCTGGTTTAATGACATTCAAAGACATGAAGGCCGCAAGACACAATAGAGTCACATAAAAAGTAGCAACAGCTACTGAAGGACAGAACAGAAACAATCCAACCGCAGAACTAAACCTCAGTCAACGTTCTTTAATTTCCTTTAATCCAACTGCCGTCATCGCATTCATTTCTGTGAATTATTGCTCGCTACAATGGGGATTCAGACAATTTTATAGTGTTCAGTACTGGCTAAACAGCAAAACTTCACCAAGCAGCTGCTTAGAGTCTAAAAGAAAACCAAAAAGGGTCACTGATAGGTCAGCATTTTTTCTAATAGAATATCTTTAATTGAGACATAAAGTCAGGACTGCAGTCCCATGAGCAAACTCTGTTTTCTTCACAATTTCCCATTAATTGCTCTCAATGAGGACTTTGTCAAATGCATCAGTGCAATTACAGGATTCAGAGGATCAACCGCAAACACAGCAAGCATGTCTAGTCAGGATTTAAGGTCAAGGGGGCTGAGTCACGGCGACTGTTTTCGACTACAGAGCAGTGACAATGGCTTCCTACTCTCCGCACTGTTTAAAAATTGGCTTCCTGAACCAGAAAACGCCCCGATACAATCATGCAGGTGAGATGCTAGATAGTAAACTTCAGGCTCCACGTTATCTTGTGTTTTCCATCTGAAAAAACACACACATCCCTCAGTGAAGCCACAAACCAAACAGGTCTGCTGAGACCCCGCATTGTCTAACCCGAGTGAGACACCATCATGATTAGCTCACACCTGTGTGGGAAAGTTGAGGAATGGCAGGGAGGATCAAACTTGAGAGATTTATGCTGCAGACTGAGTTATTGTGGTAAAGACAGACAGGCTGCTGAGCAGCTGGACTGCGGGTGTTGCAGGCTGTGGTGGGAAGCTGCACATGGATGGGTGGGAACCGGCAGATTTGAATGCACACGATAACTTCATTATCGTGAATAATCGCATTACGCTCATGGTCTGATTAAAGCATTTATACGGTTCGCAGTAAATTGATTCCCTCAATACATTTATATGATTTGTCTGATAATTGGGTTAATGTCTTGTAGGATGCAGCCGGGAGGAAGCATCTTATTAGCGCCACAAAAATAAGGGAGGGTAAATAGTGGGACTCTGCTGGTGTGCACATTAATGGATTTGCTGAGCTGAGTTGTGCAGTGTGCGAAATTCTACTCCGTGTTTATTTCTTCCCTCATGCAAGCTGTTCTGCTGCTTGTCAAGCAAGCACTTAACTTATTCCACAATCTTTCTGACGCACGCACTGAAGCAAACCTGCGGAAGACGTCCGACACTTGCAGCGTGCACGTGCAGCAATCCAAAGTGTTTGTCAGTGATCGGTAATGCCAAGAATTCGGAGTCGAACCCCGCTTGCACATCTTATCGTTGTCTGGCTTGAATTTTGTTCTGTTTTGAGATTTACTTACTAAATGGCCAGGTGTCGGAGAGCGAGAATCCTTTAGTCCTGCGGATCCGGGGACATCTAGAAGTGGCCATTTCATCTGCAAGTACTGCAAGTGAGAGAAAAAAAAGAAGCAGCGTTGAACCACAGCAAGTACACACTACAGGGAAAGGGGGTTACAAAAAACAACCGAAAAACTGAAAATAAAATATATGGATTTAACAAAACGCATTCAAAAATAGAGTCTCGTGTGCAAAAGTCACTCTCTAATGTGAGTGTAGGCAGACCAATCTTTTTTTCTGCACAGTGCAAAAGTGGCATAAAATGGTGTCAAACCCACAGAGATCTCCAGCAGACACCTGTACGAGACCCGCAGTGCTGCTGGAGTCTGACAGTGAGTTCTGGCACAGCGGAGAGTAGGAAGAGCGATGTGAACACAACGGACTGGTGGAGGACTGTGAAATTGCCGTTTGTCAGGGAAAAACAAGAGGCCAGCTGTGGGCGCCCATCGCTGAGCGGGTGGGAAGAGACAGCTGGAAGGAAGAGGAAGAACCATCTAAAGATCAGCAAAAGACTCCTGACTACCCACCTCAATCCGTATGGCCCTTTGACCTGATCGCAGCCCCTGCTCGTTTCTTTCTTCTCCACACTTTTTTCAAATATGAAAGTAATCATACTCTTTTTTTCTGGCATTTGCTAGACAGAAATCTGCAACTGCTTGTCAGATTATTACTGTTCTTCTCTCCCTTTGTGAGAAATGCGGTCAAGAAGAGGTTTTACTGCTCGATGCAACAAACTGAGCATTTTGTTTTTGTCCCACAGCAATAAAGATAGCATGAAGCCCGAGAGCTCCAACCATCTGGTTTATGAATCAGCTTAAATACCGGATACAGCAGCTTGTCATGCATGTGGATTTTCTCCCTGGTACAATTTAAAAATAATCAAGAGTTTTATTTTATAGGTAGTGTTGTTTGTTTTTCATTCATGCCCATGTCGAGTTGACACATAAAGCCTTCGCAAGTCATTGTTTCGGTAGCGTTATAAATTCTGTCACATGTTGTTGCGCAATTTCCCCATGCATCCACTGTTATCAGTCTGCAGTGAACTAGCATTGTTTTATAAATAAAACTCCATGTATGACTTCCAGTGCAAAAAAAAGTCCGCCCACTGGAAACATCTTGCTAATAAAGAAGGTCATTAATAGTACCCGTCGCTTAGAAACATTTAAAAAATAAATTTTTTAAAGCTGGAAAAAATCAGCTAAAGACTATATGCAAAGCTTTGTCCATTTTCTGAAAGTCGGTGCAGGATAAATGATGACAAAGAGGCAAACTAGAGGAGTCATGCATTCAGGTTTTGATTTTTAAAACTCCATTCATCACTCCGGGTTTGTAAGGAGGAAGGAAGCTTGGATGGCTGTGGGTTAAAAATGGAAAAGACATTATGGCAGGAGAGGGAAAAGGGAGAGGAGGGAAGAAAAAAAAAACATTTTCAGGAATTAGTTTGTCGGAGCAGGCAGAGGGTATTGTTTCCTGACAGCTGGGGTCCAACAGAGCACTAAGGTAGGGGGAGGGGACCTTTTTTTTCCCCTTCGAAAAGGGGGGAAATTCTTGGAGTTGACATCAGCCCTCTTCATTTTCACTATACTGCTCAGGGCTGAATCGTAGGTTCCAACTAATGGGCCCAAGTCCATACAACTGTCAGGAGGCAGTTGCTTTTAAAGGCTGCTAGCTCCCTATTGAAACTTTACTCTGCTGTGTGCATAGTGCCTAATGAATGCTACTCTCCGGAGAGAAAATCCAAAACAATGCAGTTTTCTCTGTCTAATCTATGTCAATCATGAGTCCTTCCACAAATGAAACGAGCGCTATTGTGAGCGTTTGGTCTGGCCCGGCCGTGCCCACCCCAGCTCTCCCACCCAATCCATCCCTTATTTGACAGCTTCTGCCAGGACTGAGGAACATGCCCCCGGGCACTTTTTTCTGAGCACCTACTTTTCTTTTAATTGCCAGTGTGCCCTATGTAGCAACTGTTCACACACTCCCCGAAACATCCAGCCAGGTAATGCCAGCCGCACACTGTCACATTAGCTCCAGTCCACACTTTGAGCTACACACCGCTCACTCATACATGAGAGGGAGAGAGGGAGGGTGCTCGAGTCTGTGAGTTGCTTCTGGAAACAAAAGGTGAGGAATTGGGGGCCATGCTGCTTAGCAAAAACTTTCTCTGTGTTGCAGTGCAGAAGGAAAGAGAAAAAAAAAAAACAGGTAAAGTGTCAGAAGAAAGTTTGCACTGCAGAATAGGAGCCAGCATTTTTTTAAGTGGCTGATTCAAATGCCGTGGCTTAAGCGGTACTAGATGTTTGTAAAAGAGTGAAACAGGAGATAACCTAATATAAATTAAACTGCAAGACATTTGGAAATGCTTTACACGTGCCCTTATTTTATTAGAAACAAACGCAGCCATATGGTTGAGGTCTCATAGCAATGCCTGTTTCAGCATGGGGGCTGGAAGCTCTGGTAAGCACACTCGGACAGAGTACTGAAAGAAGTGTGTAACTAAAGTGAAGTTTAGCTGATCCATTTTCGTAACTCTCTAATTGTCTTCCAGCCTTCCCTGCTGCCTCCAACACTCAGAATAGACATCAGTAGAATGTGCTACTTTTACAGGACCCAGATGCAACAAAGGTGGCAGTGATGCCACTGAAATTTTCCAAAAAAGCTGCACTGGAGGCGTTTGGGTTTTTGAACACAGAGAATACAACATATGCTTGGGGGCATGTGGCCTGCCAGAGCTGGGTTCTAATTGTTACATTGCTCTCACAGAGCAGAGGAAAACACAGCCAAGAGTCTTTGTCATCTCTGAAGTGTGCGCTGCCATACTCCAGGCCAACAGCGGAGCACGGAGAAGAGACAGATGTCTGGACATTTGCTGTCAAACTAAGTCAGAGAGTCTGCCAAAGGGACAGAAAAAAAAATCCAAACTTTTGCTAACAACTATCTGTTAACTTAAAGGTCGCACTGAGGAGTCGTGTTAAGCGTAAATCTAGGTAATGTTAATTTTGCTATATTATCTAAAACGGATTGCAGGATTTTGCATATGTATTGGTGGCGGTGGATCAGGAAGTGGCTCAATACATGGACCCCCGCCCCTACCAAATGTTACTTAGTTATAAAGGGCATAAAATGAAGCGCTGTTTGAATGTGCGCGAATGGGCAAATGTGGCTTGTGGCAAAAAGCGCTTTGAGTGGTCAGCTGGAGTAGGAAAGAATTATATGAGCACAATTCCATTTACCATTTAGCATGATATGCTCAATTGGATTAACTCACTCAAATCAACAGAAAAACAGTCAGACAGGCAACAAATAAAGGAGCGAATATGCATAAAGTGGCAGCTCAGACGCGGCCTGGTGCTTGTAAAAGCGGCTTCGCCCAACTTGCGGTGAATAGCCGAGCAGCAGGAATGCCTCCATGGATCACCCCGGCAGATAATGTCAATCACCTACTGTGTGGAGAACTCCTCCCCATTGTTTTCTTTTAACCCTCCTCCCCAACAGAAAACAAATGGGCCACACAGCTTGCTGTTTGGCTGAGGTGTTAATTACCGTCCCCCCGGCCCATATGAACAGCAACTTCAGACAATAACCCTGTCAGGCTCCCGGCAGGAACAGTCCCTCCCAGGTTTTCTCTGCTGATATCACCTGCTCCACGCGGGGCTATTGACACCTAAACCTGATCTATGCATGAAACACAATTAAAGACTTTAAGGCACAAAGGAAAGTGTGATAGGTAGCACCCGCCTTTGTCTCAGAGTTTGCATTAAGCGCCATTGTTTGTCGACATTAAGGACAATTACGCAGACAATTGTTAAGCAAACCTTGGAAGTCATTGTGCTAATTAGCGTGTAATTGATGGGGAAATGACAAGCGGCTCAGCTGGTAATACCCGCAATACCGTCTGCGAATGAGGCTACTACCTGCACTGAATGTGGACTTTTCAACTGGTCCACTATGAGGTAAGTATGCATTAGTAGCGGTGGTAGGGAGGTTGTTAATTAGAGGAAGATTAAAAAAACCTAGTTTGGTGAGAGTGTAAGTTATGGTGATATTTTTATTGCAGAATACATGGAGTATATAAAACTTTTGGGGTTGAAGCCTGTCGTCTTGGTTTATACTACATTAACCGTGAGAAGCCCGTGTTGCTGCACTGGAAATAGCATGCTGCTAATGGCTACCACATTTGAAGTGTCCATTAGCCCACAGAGGAATGAAGTTAAGTGACTATGACAGGGGCACTCCCTCAGTTTGCCAGGCTTCTATTGTGACCCGGTTGGTCGTCCTGCACTCTTATTCACAGCCAGTAGAAAAACTGGGTCAAAGGTCAGACATCCAGAGTGCTGTGGTTTCTATGACGACGTGGCCTATTAAGGCCAGGCTCATTGGCCTCTTAACATGCTCTTGTACACAAAAGAACTATTAGTGCAAAAAAAGGGGAGCGAGGAGAAGCAGCGCCGGGGAGGTCCTGAAAGCGCAGCGTCAAGCTTCTTCCGACATTTCCAAGACGGTTCGTGCAGCACTGTATGTCAGACGTACGCAGCGATGACGTGCTCTTCCGAAAACAGGCAAGATACGTGGGTTTGCGCTTTTCTCAAAAGGTCTCAGCTTTAAATTACTCAATGAGCGATGCCGTCATATGACTACCTCATGTGTATTCTGCACAAGGCCAAACTCACCAGCAAACCGGGTTTATTTGAAAAGTCCTTGGAGTGAATTTACTGCTGTTTCAGTAATAAAACAGCATTAACAGAATACAAGGCCAAGACAAACCCCCATAAAAAGCTTCTTTAACATTCTGTCTCAGTGAGTGAGCTGCAACTTAAGCAGGCGTTTGCATTTTTGCAACTCAAGCAATTATTTGTTTCATGAGGCTACTCTTTTTTTTTTTTTTTGTCTTCCTTGAGCATGACATGGTCCTGAGTTATTACTTCCTGCATCTAGAGTGTAACCAACGTTAACTGCAATGTGTGTGTTAGAATGAAGCCGCCATTGTTCTCCTCCTTGGATTTCAGCTAATTTTAATCAGCCGTTTAAAGCTAAAGTGAGGGTACAG